AAACGAATTACCTAAGCGAACATACCTCATTGTTTTCACCTTAAAATTTTATATAAATAGTATTTAAATAATTATATCTAATAGATTTATTATTAAATTAAGACAAAATAAATTAGGAAATTGCTGTTAAAGAATAATTATTGTAAATAGACGATTTATATGTTATATCTAAATGTATAATAAGAATTATAATAAAATGAAATAAAATTTATGTGTGATTTGGGTGATAATTAATTAAATTTCAAAAAGGAATCGACTGTTAATTAGAGACGTGCAAAAAATAATTGTAGTAGATTTATTAATTAATTAGTAATTACGGTAAATTAAAGAAATTGTCGTTGAACATTGTAAATAGACCTTTTGTATGTGTATCTAAATGTAAAATTATTTATGATAATATATTTTTTTGTATAAACTATATAAATTGTTTCTGTTTATTTTGATTGGTGGAAACAAAAACCAAACCTAATGTACAGGGTGACGCACCTCGCATTCGCCTCGGTTGATTATACAAAAACGGGAAGATGTATACATAAATAAAATGCATGTATAATTCATAATGTAATACATGTATAATAAATACATATTTAATAAATATTATTTATTAAAATATTGTAGGTAAATTAAATAAAAGTAAACTGGTATAAATTTAAATAAGTCCATAAACTAATTTCGATTTTGAAAATAGCTACTAACTATAGCTACTTCACTACTCGCTATATAGCTACTTACTAGCAGCTTGCTGTGACGACACTAGCCCTCTTGGTTGGAATTTTTTGCCAAAAAGTGTTTTTAAAAGTCGCTGTTTAGTTGCGCCACTGGCAGAGTATATACAGAGTGAGTCTTAAATAAGCGCAAATATTTTCAGGGCTGGTAGATCTCGATAAAAGAAACATATTTTCGCTTTACCGTTTTTCAAATAAGTCCGCATAATAACCGAGATATTTTAGTTTGAAAATTACAAAAAGAAATATTTTTTGCTTAAATTTTTGAGAACTGCTGGATATTTTCTGGGTTTCTTTCTTGTAAATTTAATCTACTACCTATGTTGTCACATTATGGAGATAATAACTTTTTTAATTAAAAACTAAAAACATTTCCAACATTTTTTTTTAAAATTCTAAAAAAAAAAATTTCGCAAAAAAACTCATATGATCATGTTTCTGGGATCGAAATATACAACCTCTAAAAAATTTGCACTTATTTAAAATCACCCTGCACTTGAAGGGGTTTTCCAGGAGCGTCGGTAGAAAAAATTCTCATTTGTTGGGACTAAAACGATATTTATTAATAATTTATTCTAGAGTTTCGTTCTATATTATTCATGTTTAATAAACAATTTTTGCTGTTTCAAGTATCTTTTTATACCTCAAAAATAACTTACTTTTAGCACGGCTTAATAAAAATTAAAAATGCCTGTTAAATAAAATCGGAACTACCGATTTCTTCTGAATTTTGCCCCAAGCAAAGAGTAGATAAGACAAGAGACGACAGTTCGCGCGGTACCTTTCATGTTTGAGTGGTGGGGAGAGTGACCTCGTCTCGCTGGTCCCTTTAAATTTTCGTAATTTTTTCGCGGTAAATTTAAAATAGACTATTATTAAAACTTGCAAATATATTATTGTATAACTTATAAATAGTTACTGTATAGGTAAAGAAATAAATAGAAACGAAAAAAAATGACTTTTCTAAATATTATATAAAATAAATTATAATTAGAAACATATTTGTCGGGGAATAAAGATATTAAAAGCAATATTTTGTATATCGTTTGTAAACAAGATAAAGTGACCAAGTCGATTTGTAAGAAATGTTTTATTTACGTGTATTTTTTTTACATATGGACTTGAACAAGTGTAAAATCACAATGTGGAGTTTATGTACAAAAAAATAGAGTCGCTCAATTTTTTTTGTAAAAATATATTACAAGCTTCTAACCATGTCTTCGATCTTAGTTTAATAACTTCTTTAAGTCTTCTTTCTTAGTTTAATAACATAATTATATAGTATATTTCTATAAAAATACTTTTCAGGATCCTTTGGAAAAGAGTGAAATATTATGTTTGTCGAAGAATAAGACCTATTTTTGCAGTCTTTATAAGCACACACATTGCCACCATCTCGTCTTTTCCTGCTACTCGTGTCCTGTTCAGTATTCATATTTAACAATATTTACAAATTAGTACGCAACAAAAACGATACTAAAATTAAACCTTAAAAAGTCTCAAAACGATAAGATACTCAAACTCTGAAAACACACTTTAAAAAGGCAAAAATGCAAGAAAACAACTAATCAGATTTGTTTATGTTTACGCCTGATTAGCACAGCTGATTAGCGTCCTAAAATCAGGCAGTGCCTTCTATTAAAAGATCAGCCTACGGGCGGACTTTTGTTTGCTTCATCGGCTGTACATACTTAGATATTGGGTTAGATTCCGTTTCATATTTTGTCGGTTGATTTTTGGTTTTAACTCTAATTTTTGGTATTATTTATTATTGTAGTGCAAAAAACGAATTATTTTGGTGTTGAAGTGACATAAACTACTACCAGATATATGGTCACTCTCGGTTTCGCATAAAAAAATAGAAATTTTAAAAATTACACGTTGTGTAAGTGATTTAACCTAAAAGTGCCCATACATTTTTTACTTATCGTGATTTTTGTGTGTGTTTTTAAGACTCTAACAATTCATCAATAAAGCTTAAGTGGAGTGTGTTTTTGGTGCTATGCCTCATCTTTGTTGTGTTCCTGGTGGAAAGGATAGTTACTAAGGATAGTTATTATACTAGGCAGCCTAAAGTGTCCGGAAGAGCAAGAAAAGTGGGTACGAGTTATAAATCAAGAGAATTTTATTGAAAATATTTTTAATAAATTTAAAAATAATATTCTCCCATGATGGTATTAATGAAAACTGGACAATTATGTTTATTTTATTCATATTGTGGAATCTCCACTCCAAGTGTTGCTGGTTCAGCTTCGATAGATTCAAACACGTAAGTAGGTATTATGATCTAGGGAAAAATAAAGAATATGTGTATTAGAGATCATGAAAAAGATTATTATTTTGAGTTCAAATTTTAAAAAGATTTTTGTAAAGACAAGACTGATACAGTTTAAAAGAAGAATGTGTTTTTGTTTGATAATATATAATGTATGTTAAGCATAACATATATTTGTTCAGTAATTTTTAATGAATAGTATTGATTATTTATAATACCAAATTAATATCAAATATTTAAGTGATGGCTGAATACAATATGAATAAAATAACAATAAAATTGGTATATTTGCATAATACAAAATTAAGTTTTAAGAATAAAGGTGTTACTAAAAATACTAAGAAATTCATATTTCTTTGTTTTAATTGGTCTAATGTTATTTACATTTTACGTAAGAATTATACCGTATCATCGAAAAAATCGGCGTCTAGTTGGCTTGGAAATGAACATCGATGACATTCCCTAAATAACTGTACACATAAAATAATTAACTAGAATTTTACAATCTTGGAAAATTTGATATTCTTGAACCTTGATTCTAAATATTCTAATTTTTTTGATTTTCTTGGAATTTAGGTTCGGGAAAAACGCTGATTGATTTTTCATTTGGTTTTTCATTATTTTTATTTGGTTTAAAAAAAAAACGGTTCGGCTAACATTATAGCCTCCATCAGTGTTGTGTCATATGAACAAAATAGTGTCGAATATAATCCAAAAAATTGCATATAAAATATTCACACCACGCACATAATGTTTACTGCGTACTCCATAGTCAATGTAGATAATTTTAGTGTTAAGAATAATAATTTTAAAAAATATGTGGTCAACTTTTGATAAGTTTATATTAGTTTATTAATTGCAGTAAACATTATGAGGTGTGAATTATATTGTATATGTAATTTTTTGGATTATATTCGACACTATTTTTCTCATACGACACAACACTGTGAAGGCTATAGTTAGCCGAAACGTTTTTTTTTTAAACCAAATAAAAAATAATGAAACCCAAATGAAAACTTAATCAGCGTTTTTCCCGAACCTAAAATCCCAAGAAAATCAAAAATTTTAAAATAATTTAACATATAAAATGCCAGCGATCTTCATTTCATAGCCATCGCTGACGCCTTTTTTTAGATAATATTGTATTATTTGTAAATATAATTTTTCGAACATTGATACTTGCAAAATATACATATAAATTTTGTGAATGCAAATAATAATACATCACTATTAGTAGATATTAAATGTTTTTGTTAAATTAGATCGATTTTCAAACCCCAAAATTTAAAATATATTTACATTTTACCCATTATCTTATGTACCTATACATTATTTGTACATTGTAAAACATTTGCTGCATTTGTATGGTTCATAGTTTATTTGCCAAAGTATTTATTACTATAAATAGGTATATATGTTGTAGTTATTAGCTGTATATTATGTATATTTCATTGAAACTATATCATTTTTAAAATACAAACCAAAAATCTGAGGAATAATTATGTTTTCCATGTATTCTACAACATATTTATTAATCCGTTATATCTAACTAGCGTGACGTCATAAATCTCGCCCCCAGGCTGATCTTTTAATAGAAGGCACTGAATCAGGTTAGATTTTAGATTAGATAAAATACGCCGTTGTCAGATTTTGAGATTTTATCTGTTTATCTTTGAAATCGATCAACTTAGTCATTCTGTTTCTTTGATATTATCAGTACATTGCGAAAAAAGAACCTAAACCAACCTAAACTAAAAATTTACATTTCCGTATTAATATACGTTACTTATATCCTTCTTATATTATTAATTTATTTTCAGAAAATCTTGTTTATTTTTCAAAGTAATATACTTGGCAACAGACAGAATGGGACTTGATGGGACCTTTAAATTTTAATATATCTGCGTCTCTCTCGCGAAATTCGACTTCTTTGTTCACTGTCGTCTCTTGTCTTATCTACTCTTTGCCCCAAGTTATCTACCGGAAATAAAATTTTGGTTGCGGCAACACTGTATAGAACAGCAACAAATTTTATAACCATAAAAACAATTTTGTGTTGATATCATAGAGTTGATATCTTGTAATTAGTATTCATATTAAATAAATTGAAATTTTTACCGTGTTGGACAAAATCAATATGATAGCTGATGATAGTATTTTTTTCTAAAAATAGGTAGGTGTACAGAGATAAAAACAATTTAAATTACTTTTTTATTTTATTTTTAGGTATCGCAACTGTGATTATGAACTAATTAAGTACCTATAAGGTGGTATTCAGTGTCAACATTATCTTAATTTATTAACGGAACCATTCGGTGAATATTATCAAACCTCAATACCAAGAAATAAGGATTTTTGGATTTGTAGATCCTGTGTGTAGAAGTGCATGTTGCTGTTATTACTGGAACTTTTTTCACAAAATTTTGTTATTTATAGATTATAACTTTTATAATCAATCAAATTAGAATCATGAAAATTGTTGAAAAAGAGATTAATGCACCTTGGGGCTCTATTGCTCGTGAGTATTTTGAATTAAATAGAAAGGCAATAAAGTATTTTTATAATTTTCAGTTAAGTTATGGGGTGATGAAAATGATCCTCCTGTTCTCACTGTCCATGGTATACTAGATAATGCTGGGGGTTTCGACAGAATCATTCCTCTTTTGCCTCAATGTTATTACTACATCTGTGTTGACCTTCCCGGTCACGGCAAGTCTAGTCATTTTCCTCCACATTTACCAATACATTCCATCAATAATTTGATAGTTTATACGTTAGTTATGGACTATTTTAACAAGAACAAATACATTATTATGGGACATAGTTATGGAGGCCAATTAGGTTATTTATTTGCTCAGTTGCATCCGCATCGTGTAGAGAAACTGATAATGTTTGATGCAGTTAAATTATTACCTGTGCCAGTAAATAATTTTCAAGATTATTTGGTATCAAAATTTAAAGCCTATTTTGAGATTGAACAAAAATTAAAATCTGGATCTCCTCCATCGTACACATATGAGGAAGCAATGCAGAGGGTTATACAAGTAAGTTTAGTAGTTTCCAATGGGATACTTTTTTTAACATGAATATTTTAAGTTTATTTTTATTATTAGGGGCATAGTCCGCCACTGTCCCGTGAAGCTGCTGTAGGTTTATTAAATAGAATATTAATTCCGAAAGATAATGGAAAATATGAACTATCATTAGATCAAAGATTGAAGAACTTTATTAATCCACTGCATGGTTTTACTTATTCAGTCCAATGTTCAAAGCGATTTCCTGTGCTGTGTCCAATATTAATAGTTGTTGCAGCAGATAATGAATTTCAAAGAACATTTATGAAACCGATAGCTGAAGCTTTTCAAAATGAAGCCAATATTACAATAAAATATGTCAAAGGCCACCATGATGTGCATAATCAAAATCCTGAATTAGTAGCGCCTCATGTGGTTGAATTCTTGATAAAACAGAAACATAAATTGTAGCATAGAAAACAAACATTCGGTACTCGATGTATTTTAGTGTGGGGTGTGGATTTACATTGGTCCTACATTTTTATATAATTTTATTGGTATGTATTTTATATCACTTCAAAGTATTGTTATTTTAAGTATTTTTTGGGGTATTTTACATTTATTCTAATTGCACATATATATTTTTATAATTGTTATTCAATAAAGAAAAACTCATGACGAAATGTATATATTTATTATCTTAAATACATAAAATACATAACCAGCTTACAACTTCAGCTTGGTTCTACGCCAGTGACGCCTCTTAGCGTTATATCTGAAAACAAAAAAATGTGTAAGAATTTTATGAACATAACTAGAGAAAATCGATTAAATGAAAGTTTATAAAAACAAAATCTTGGGCTTGGATAAAAATTTAGTTAGGTTAGGTGTCGTTCATTACACGTGTCGAAAACTTGTTTCGAAATAGGAAAGGAAAATAATAACTTATTTCTATAAATAATTACCTGATGGTGTTTCCAGTTCTCATACGAACCCATTGTGGAATAGGCCTATTCTGCTTCAGTTTTTTAGCAAGCTTTCGCTTGATAATGAATGTTTTATGGGCAGACTAAAAAAGAATGCGCTGTTAATTTTCGAACTCAATTTATGAAATAATGAATTTTGGTTATTAGGGCAACAAATAAAAATTCAACTAATATCTTACCATTAGTCTTTATAAGCACCAAAACACAAAAAAGTTAAATTTTGTGATTTCGTGTTGGTCTCCACAAAAATTCAATGAAAAGAGACAGATGTTTGGTAAACTGTCAACGTCAACGTAGTCAACCAAATGTCAAATATCATTGTAGCCAACTGTAAAAAAAATAAAAGATTAAATATGATTGTTATTTGATTTTTTTTATATATGATCAGGTTTTTTATTTATTTTTTTCGAAAGAAACCTTTTTTCCAGAGATATAGTGATATGTCTATATCTTTGTTTTTTTCTCATATTTCGATATTTGACAGATTGACATTGACAGTCCAAAAATATGTTTTTTGAAGAATGTTGTTTTGTTAAGTATTGTTTACAAATTCCTGACTGAAAAGATAAATTACAGTTTATTTTTCCTTATCTTTTAACTTCTAGATTTCTTAGCACGTAATTAAAATAATGCACATATTGTGCTTAATTAATGCAATTCTTGCAGATTAAATGGTTTCTTAAGAAATAATTCTGCGATTTTTATCAGTTCTGTCGATCACAAAAGTTATCGAATTAATATTATTTAAGGTTTTGTAAAATGTGAAGTGCTTCAAGAGATTTTTGGGTTTCAAATGTCTACTACCGCTCTAATTTGGAAATGGCACTGGCTACTAATCGCATCTCTGTTCCTTCTCACTTTTACCTGTAAGTTGAAGCAGTTTTTTAAAAGTAAAGTAGTGTCTTTAAAAACAATTTTTAGTGCAAAGTCAATTACCAGGTCAACCAATAACGTTGGTATATTCAACAACAAAAGATATACGAAATTTAACTTTCATAAAAAACAGAGAAAACCAAAAACCAAAGATTATAATAAGGAACTATACTTACATAGCTTCGATAGATTTTCATTATGAAAAGGAGATGATGTGTTGGTCGGACCAGGAACTTTTGGGCATATTTTGTGGCCACTATGACAATAATATAGCAGAGAACAAGGTTTGTACTAGTGATGTAAAGAATTAACAAAACAAAATATATATTTCTCTGTTAATCTTATTTTTCACAAAAAAATCAGTACAATTACGCACTACATGTACACATTCCTATAATTTAATTTCTTTTTAAACCAGGTTAAAGTTATTGGAGAAATATTAGCGCCTGATGGCTTAGCAATAGATTGGTTTACTAATAACATTTATTGGGTGGATAGCGATACAAACAAAATAGAAGTTGCAACCTTAGATGGAAAACACCGCAAAGTACTTTTTTGGACTGACATAGATCAACCACGTGCCATAGCTGTAGTTCCTATGAAAGGGTAAAATAATAAAATTATATGATTATTCACTCACCACGAAAAACGGGCAGCTTAAAATTTTAATGTTTTATATACTGTGTTCTAGTGGACCGATTTTGATGACTTTTTAAGCAATTTGTAGCTAATTTATTTTACTTTTTAGTATCTTTTTCTATACGAAGGAAATCAAAATGTTGATATTTGGTGAAAGTTTGAAACACCCTGTGGAGTACGTTAACAAAGGAAAGCATTTAAAAATAATTTTATCATCTAGGTATATCCTTTCTCATTTGTTTGTTTTTTGATTCATCTCAATAGTTTTTTTTTTGAGATATTCACTTTTAAAGAAGGCACTAAATTTTTTTCATATTTTTTGCACTAAAATCGTGCCTTTTTTTGGTCCTAAACAACAGACCTATAAAATAGTGTTAATGATTTATGTAATGTCACTGTCTTTGAGAAATCATATCATTATTGTCTGTTGGGCAGTTATTATACTTAGCAGATATGGTTTTAACTCCAAAAATTGATCTTTACCGTGATCAATTAAAGCAGCAATAGTTGATACTTCAGAACTTAAAATCATCTCTAGTAAACGTCAATAACAATAATAACATAGATAAATGAAACAAGTTTAGATTGGAAAGTGCCCATAAGGACAATGTAAACACTATTTGGCGCTATTCTTGCAACGGTCGCGACCCAAAGCTTTTAAAAATTTCGGAGCGGTTTGGCTTTTTTCGGAATTATATCGCCAAATATTGTTTATTCAGATTTATTATTTATTATTATGTTCTTTTAATTTTATAAATAAAATACAGTGTGTTGCATACAAGATACTTTATTTTATATAAGGACATGTATAAAATACCTATGAAACATTAGATTGGTTCACAGTTCACAGCACAGCTTTTTAAGTTTTTACTGCCACTTTTTCACAATTATCACGGGTTTGAGTAAATAAAACTGAAAATGTACTCACAAGATAGCAATAATTACTTTGAAAATGGATGCTTTAAACACTTTTCGGATTTTTTTCAATGAGAGCGGTTTGGATTTTGAAAGATTTTATAATTTTTGAAGATTCTGACTTTGACAAGAGAAAATTCTTTCTGTTCTTGTTTGCAGTTGTTCTTAGCAACTGCTATAGCAGCGCCATATCACGTACAACGGTCGCGACCCAAAACAATTTCGCGACCCAAAATTTTGGCGGCCATTCCAATCTAAATTTATTTCCTTTATCTATGCAATAATAATTTGACTTTTCAATGACAGTGACATTACAAAAACAATAAACACTGTTGTATAAGCGTGTTGATAGGGTCCAAAATCAATGCTAAAATTGCTATAAATTGTTACTGTCTTAAGATTCATTCAGAACCTCAAAATCTGTGGAATAAATTAGTAGTTTCAATTAGTCATAGAAGTTTGTTCACCTAATTTAATGTAAGCATTCAGAACGTTATAATTAGTGGTAGTACTTTTAAATTATTGGAAAAAGTTAACAAACTTTTGACTTTTCCACTAATTATACTTCAAAATTTGCGAGGAATGTCATTTTGGCCTTTGATTCATCAAGTCATCTTGGCCTTTGATTCATCACCCGTCAAGAAAAATTTTGGTTAGAAATCAAAATGTTATTGTTTTATTAGCTAAATCTATGGATACAACAGACTACCGCAAGCTGTTGCTAGGATATTTTATTAATTTTAATTGTGTTTTTTAGACATTGTGAATGATCGTAAACTAAATAGTATAAAGTGTAATTGAAACCACTAATTTATTCCACTAATTGGGGGGTTTTGAATGAAGCTTTATTCAAAAGCCAACATATCTCTAGTAAATATAAAGCCCATTGAGATGAATCAAAAAACAAACTATCCTAGATGATAAAATGATTTTAAATTCCTTGCTTGCACAGGGTGTTTCAAACTTTCACCAAAATATCAACATTTTGTGTTCCTGCGTATAATTGACAGATGGAAACTTTTATTTATAATTTAAGAAGAGATACTAAAAAGTCAAATAATTTAACTTAAAAAATCATCAAAATCGGCCCACTAAAATACATCAAAATTTTAAGGTGCCCGTTTCTCATGCCGGTGAGTGTATTTATAATCTATAGGGAAATTAAAACAACTTTGGGTGCACGTCATGAATGACGCCATGCATCGTCTTATGGAGTTTGCTGGTGGTCATATTATGATGTGCAACCAAAGTTATTTTAATTTCCCTTTATAAAGAAACTATTATACAGTAAAACCCCGGTTATCCGAGGTAACGGGGGGGACACCCTCCTCGGATAACTGAAAACTCGGATAATCCGGATTTATTAAAAAATAAGCACCAATACATAGTACTTTAAACGGTTTATTAACATTTTTAACACGTAAGTACATAAGTACCTACATATGTAGATACTATCTACATTATAAAAGAGTGAAATATGTATCTATGCGCTGCTGTTTCATATTGCATCTTCTTTTTCTCTCTGCCATATTTCTCCACCTGTTAAGAAGAAACAAATCCGCTGGGGTTGCCTTTGATTGTTGTTCAATATACCTCAGAGCTGTTTCCAGAGAAGTAGTGGAAACTTAGTGGAAGGCTGTTCATCCACCTCTTCGTCATAGTTATCGTCATCTGATTTTCGGTTTCCCGAAAAGCGTTCGCTATTTCTTCAATAGTCATTTCTTCTTCTAAATCATCTGCTGTAACCCATTCATCAACGTTTTGTCTTGTCACATTTTCGCAACCTTTTAAGTTTTGCATTAATTCTAATAAACTTTCTTGTTCTTCTGTCTCATTTAAATTTGTACAGGACATTTCCATCCAGAACTACTGGTAACCCTATCTGTCTCTGGAAATTGTTTACTAATCGTTATTGCTTTTTGCTGCAAAATGGGACCTGACAGAGGCACGCCTTTTGATCTTTGCTGAGTAAACCACGTGAATAAAGCTTCGTTAACTTTTTCATAGTCGCCTTTTTTCATTGATTTTCTTCTTGAAGACGAAGAGGTTTGTTTTATACACCATTCTTCTATTTTAGTGCCGTTTCTGTTCCAATCTCCAACTGTTACCTCACCTACTCCACAATCTCGTGCAACAGTTTTAATTGTCTTGCTTGCTTGAGTTCCCCTAATGGCTTTTAATTTTTCTTCAATAGGAACGACAATTCTTTTACGTTTGTTTCGTTCCATTATAATACGACAAACGAAAATTTAAACAAAGTAGTTGGTATACACTTAACTAGAACTCCACCCAGATAAATCATGCGAGTACATACGTATACTACTTCTCCGTAGTGAACGCAATAACGAGCTACATTCACTCAAATTTACATGCTAAAAGAGTCCAAAAATATAAATAAGGAGAACCACTCACACGGGCCAAGGGGATTCCCCGTCGGTCCCAACGATTTTAAACGGAAATATGTAAATATACATATAGTATATTTTAGAAGATCGGTTAATACGGAGCATAGACGCGCGACCTCGGATAATCAGGGTCTTTAGATTGGATCGGTTAATCCGGAGCACGAATAATTGCGACTCGGATAATTGGGGTTCTACTGTATTATAATATTACTCTTTACTATTACTTACTTAAAGAAAAGGCGATTGATGGCTTTGAAATGAAGATCGCTGTCATTTTATACCGGGTGCGTCTCAAAAGTTTCTCACCCCCTATAACTTTTTTATTTTTTCAGATAAAACAATGATATTTGGTATGTTAGTATATGACACAAATTGGGATTGATTGACGTATTTAATTGTTTTCGGTCACTTCCGGTTTCACCGGAAATGATTACAACTTTTGATTTTTAAATGGCACCATCGGTATTTTTTTACTTTATTTGATAGAAAATGACACTCTGAATCGAATGACATATCATATGTCAACTTTTGACATTTTGGCATATGGTTTATTTGAAATTGTAACATGCGGTTCATAACGACAATTTGACTCAAAATACCAAGTGTGTGGTATCAAATTATTCGTAAAAAAATGCTTTTTCCAAATATGCTAATGAGCCACCCTCGTTCCATTTGAAAAAATTGAGATATGATTAAAAATACGATTTGGGCATCTTTTAACCGGCCAGGACAAGACACTAAAAACATTGGACGATCAAATCTATTTTTCCAAGGCTTCCTGATTAAAAACTAATGTTTTTAACACAGCCATGGCACTCTAGATTAAAATTTAAAATAGAATTTGTTTTTGAGTGACTATGTCAAAAATTGACATATTATATGTCATTCGATTCAGAGTGTCATTGTCTATCGAATAAAGTAAAAAAAGACCGTGGGTGCCATTTAAAAAAAAGTTGTAGTCGTTTCCGGTGAAACCGGAAGTGACCGAAAACAATTGAATACGTCAATCAATCCCAATTTATGTCATGTGCTAACATACCAAATCTCGTTGTTTTATCTGAAAAAATAAAAAAGTTATAGGGGGTGAGCCACTTTTGAGACGCACCCGATATATAAATCAAAGATGTAAATTTATGGGCAATGGCCTAGCTACGTCGAAACACCGGTTCCCATTAGAACGCCGAAGTTAAGCGACGTAAAGCGATACTAGTGGATGGACGGGTGACCAGTTCGAAACTCTGTATCGTGCTGTTGTCCAAAAAAAGGCAAAAGTGTAAAATCTATTGACACACACTGCTCATTCACGCCGGTTCGAGGCCGGATGAGATCGGACATCTCGTGAGTAAGAGTCGATTTAGACACTTGCCAAGTCGGTAGGCCATTGACCATGATATGGCCGAGGACCGCGGTTCGGATTCCGCGTAAACAAAGTAGGCCCCGTCCAGATTAGCCCTGGCAGCAAAAAGGAGACGTTAACTGAAATCTCTATATAAATTTATATGGGAAGTCATCATTTCCGAGCCAACTTTTATATGTTCTCGTTTGTGCTTATACATGTTCGTTTTTGCTCATATGTACATGCCTGTATAAGAGAACGTTCCAGCACAATGATTCTTCTTTAAACGTTCGCGAGTGTTCACGAACGTTCACGAAATGGATCATTCTATTACACTATATGTAAATATATTTTAGTTTTCTGTTTTGGACTGACTGGGGCGAAGTGCCAAAGATTGAAAGGGCAGGAATGAATGGAGACCCTCGAACCAGGAGGATAATCGTTTCTGAAAACATTTATTGGCCAAACAGTATAACAGTCGATTATAAAACTGAAAAAGTTTATTGGATTGATGGGAAACTGCTTTTTATCAAGGTATGTTTTTTTCCAGAGCTAGCAAAAATATTTTTTTATATATTAAATAATTTCTTATCACGATTTTTAACAAAAAAATAAATATACATATAGGCTTGGTACATTCTCCGCCGGTGTAGCCACCATCGAAGAATGTCGTAAACAATCGGTGTATACAAATACACGGGTTTAAATAGCGAGTATACAAAAAAAATATAAAATTATTCTAAAAGCGTTAGGAAGTATAATTTGTGAAAATTCTAAAAAAGAAATTAAAAAGTGAATATTTTGATATCTTCAGAAGGTCTAACTTGTATTATAATTTATTATTGAAGCTAATAAATTTTTTTAGATGAGTTCAACTACGGTAGCGAGCATAGTTTTACGCACCGGTTGTAAGCTAGTGGGGACATAACTTGGGCTATTTCGGCTATAACGACTTTGTTGAAGGTGCATAATTATAATTTTAGAAGATATTCATAAAACTTTTTGCACTAGTTGATTAAAAAAAGATTATACCATTAATATTGCAAAGTATATTTTATCCTGTCATAGTATATATGTATCTATTTAATTTTTTGATTATTTTATGGGCACTTTGTTTACTCACTTGTTTCGTCGAACTGCTTGAATCCATTCTTGCTTTTGATCAAATCGGTTTGAGAAGCTGAGAAGCTATAAAATGTTGTTTCGGGAGAGGGGAGAGTTGAATATTCAGGAAAGTTCAGTTATTGCATTTTATTTCACCCAACAACCACGTGATTACGCCCTCCTTTACGCGTTAACATTTTTTCGGCAATTTTATTAACATTTTAAATTGTCAGAACACAACGCGACGCCCAGTTCGAGTTCTTTTTCACTTAATTTTTACTACCTGAAACAGCGTTACATGGCAAAAACCTCGTACCCGAATGTTTTATAGTTCCGATAACAGCACTAGTAAAAAACTAAAATACTTAAATATTATGACAAAACCACTATTTCAATATTATTTTAATGCGATCAACATGAACTGTAAAGGTAAATTCAGGCTGAGAGCGTCAAGCGTCGCGTACGAAATGGAATCAATTCCTTTAACTTAAATTAGACCGTTCAGGCAGAAAGCGTCGCGTTCGGCGTTGCGCTAGCATCCGCTGAGCGTCGATCGTCGAGTTCAGTCTGAATTGTTTTTCGGCGAGATTTCTAGCGTTCAGTGGTTATCATGGCGTCTGAGGACCAGCACGCAGAGGTGCTAATCGCCAAAATACAGGCAAGACCTGCACTGTAGAATGCAAAATTGCTTCAATATAAAAATGAAAATCTGCATGATTGACTACTTGAAGAAATAGCGAAAATTCTAGGTATTTCTAGTAAGTATTTTTTCATAGTACGAGTAAATATACGAGAGCTTTCGAAATTCAAAATATAAATCATGAAATTCTCCATGTAGATATCGTCTTCTGTTTATAGGGTAAATTCCTCCTTTGTTTTCCATTCTTTTGAATGTAAAATATTGTGTTTCCAATAGTATCATTAGATAAACTGCTCTCCTTGAAGCCATTTTACAAAGTGAAAACAAACCTAAAGAACCAGCTAATATGACGCTGCGCTGACGCTCCCAGTCTGAACGACCAGACGCGACGCGACGCTCGACGCTCTCAGCCTGAATGTACAGGGTGGGTCAAATTCGACGCTTTTAAATGGAAACACCCTTTTCTATAGGAGATAGACGAAAACTAATATCGGTGTCTGGGGCTCAATTTTCATCAAAAACATGATGGTGGAAACCGCACATCAATATCTGTTACCGTTTCGGAGTTACGGGGTGTTTTTCAAAAATGTGCATTTTTACCAAATCGCTGTAACTTTTTGCTATGGAAAATTTTGTATTTCTATGAAAACATTTCCAAAGCACCTTTTTACATAGAATTTAATGGTTTAAGTATAATTTTTTTAAAATTAATAATTTAAGAGTTATCAACAGAAAAATTGATTTTTTATTTGGGACACCCTCTATATTTTTAATTAACTGAAAATAATTTAAAATTACCTTTCCAAAAATATAGCACACTTGATATTTTGTTACAATCCCCTTCGAAATACAGAATTTTTTAAAGTTCGCCACTTTTAACTAGTAGGCTTTGGACCCCTTATTGATGATATGCCCTTAATGGAACTCGAAAACATATTTTTACAGCAAGACGACGCACCGCCTCTGAACTCTGAAGTTATCAGCAAATTTTTGCAGTCAATTTCAAGAATAATTGAATAACCAAGGTAACCAATTGATAACCAAGTACTTAGTACCCATGGATCTAATCCTATGGATATATTTGCGAAAGAATAAAGATTCCTTATCCTTCCGTATAACCTAGACAAGAATTAGAAATACTTAGCAGTTATGAGAGGGTATCTTTCACCCCCAGTGAGTTAATGAATTCCGCGAGAAATGTTCAAAAACTGCCCCGTCTGTCCATAACAGTCGAACACCTGTAGCAAAATCTCATGTCTTGGTTTGCTATTTATTATTTTAATTGTTATTAGATATAGTTTAAATGTGTTGATGTTGGTTAAATATATTAATTGTTATAAAATTCTGCAGCTCTCATAGCAAATATTATTTTCGTTTTAATTGATGCTCACAGCTAGAATTTACAGCCGGTGCCGTTCAAAGCCTACTTTTCTAAAGCGGGCGAATTTTTATATACTCTATATCTCGAAGAGGAATCGAGCAAAATATCAAGTGTGTTATATTTTTGGAAAGGTAATTTTAAATTATTTTCAATAAATTAAAAATATACAGGGTGTCCCATATAAAAAATCAATTTTCTGTTGATAATTCTTAAATTATTAATTTTAAAAAAATTATACTTAAACCATTAAATTCTGAGTAAAAAGGTGCTGTGGAAATGTTTTCATAAAAATACAAAATTTTCCATAGCAAAAAAGTTACAGCGATTTGTTAAAAATGCATATTTTTGAAACTCTAAAAGCATAATGTCTTTAGGAAATTCCACTGCCCATCTTTCATAAACATCATGCATGCGTGCAGATGTAATCCTTGAACTTGCAGTTTGCGATTAGTATTAACAGCGTCGGATTGGAACTTCTGATGTCAGAAACTACAAAAATGACATTAAGGTAAAAAATTTAATTATTTCCCAATACGACGCTAATAATTCCAATCGCAAATGGCAAGTGCACGGATTACATGTGCACATGAGCCACCTTAATATCGATATAATAAATATAACCGCTAGAGTGTCTATTTGATGAAGATTGCCTCAAAAGGACAGTGAAATTTCCTAAAGGCATTATGATTTGAAGGTATATGTCCAAAATAGACCCAGAAAAGTATGAGGTGGTAGAAGGCATAATTGATGCGTCAAAAAATCAAAAAATTTTGAAAAATATTCTTGTGTCAAGTGGGAAGGACAAAGGTCCTTGTAACCAATTGTTCTGGTAAAGACCAGGACAATAATTTTATATTTCAACAGGATGGCGGGGCATGCCATACAGCTAAAACTACTAAAAAATGGTTTAGGGACATGAACATCAATGTTCCCTCATGGCCTTCCCACAGTCCGGACCTTAATGTTATCGAGACATGTGGCATAAAACAAAACAAAAATTGTGCCACGATCTTCAAGAAACCGTTTCTCATTTGACGATGGTATTAAGTGAATTATGGCAAAATTTTTATTCTGACGTATGGCAACCATTAATAAAAACGATGCCAAACAGGCTTGCAGTGGTTGCAAAAGTTCATGCCGATGTAACGCCATATTAGAACAGTTATTTTTTAAAGTGTCCGAACATTTAGTTGTCACGATTTTGTACAATCTTTTTGTTTATTTATTGGCCTACAGTTTATTTTAATGTTTATAGAAACTAAACTATTTAAATACTCATTAGAAATGTTAGATTTTAATATATTTTAAAAGTATTTCTTAAATGTAAATATATCAGTTAATGAAAATAAAAAAAAAAGAATAAATTTTTGTTTGTCCGAACATTTAGTTGTTAGGGCTCGTATTTTTTTTTTTATTTCTAAAATTCTAAAAAAAAAATTCTGGGCTCGTATAGAAAATGGTGTTTCCATTTAAAAGCGTCGAATTTGACCCACCCTGTACATTAACCGGGACGGCGCGGCGCGCGGCGTGAAATACATATTCTGATTAACTTTTATTTATTAACTGAAATGTACCAAGCCTATATTAAATTTTTTGAGTTTGCTATTTTTAACAAGTTCTATGTTTTTCTCTCTTCTCAAATCTACAAATTTTAACGAATATTAACAATTCTGTAATTTTAATCATGCATTAATACATCATTTGATTTATTAGTAACTGGTTACAACCCTATTTTCTATTTTCTATTTGAATATATTCTTCTTGTTTTATTTTTAGGTAATGGATTATGATGGCAAAAATTTGACGACGATTTTAAGTACTGGTTTAGAATATCCCTATAGATTATCTCAGATTTCAACAAAACTATTTTGGACTGACTGGAAAACACTGTGAGTACTTTTAAATATATTTTTATTGTAATATGTATTCATTTTTGTATGGGTTTCTTAGAGCTATCCATTATTATGACTCCAACTCAAATCAACGTCCTACTGAGTTAACTGTTACACCGCATTTAATGGATATCAAAGTTTTCGATAAAGAAAAACAGATAAAAATACCCCACCAATGCGAGGAAAATAACGGGGGATGTTCTCATTTGTGCCTTTTAGCACCAGATTTTCCATACTACTCGTGTGCCTGCCCTATAGGGATTAAGTTAATAGGTGAATAAACTGAAATATTTGTTTAAAAATATATACAGGGTGGTCCGAACTGTATTTCGGAAACTTCGGGAGCATATTTTTCAGATAAAAATGAGTAAATAAGTTTGTATAAATGTATGTCCTAAAATGCTTAGTTTCGGAGATACAGGGTGTAGAAGTTTCATTTTTACTTCAATTTTTTTTAAATAATTTCTGAAGTAACGTCAGTATCAGGATGAAAACTGGTCTCTGGTTTTTTGACATGAGAAAATAGATTTTGAAATCAATATTTATTTATTTATTTATTTTAGCGGTTATTTCCAATAGGCAATTAGAGCCCACTTACAGGAAAAACAATCTTAAAAGTAGGTTGTTACTAAACATTAAATATCAAATTTACAAAAACCAAAACCAAGAAAAAAAAATTACAAAAAAGAGAAAATTAAACCTAAATCTAAACCTAAATGAACCAATCATGATAATAACAATAATAACAAATTATAAATTACTATTATAAACCATAGTCAACCATTAATGCCCCCCACCCACCAGCAGGGTTGGCATGATATATATATATCAATGATATATATCGGATATATATTAATGATATATATCGGATATATATCATTGATATATATCATGATATTTATACCTTGATATATTATCATGATATTTATAAAAAAATAAAACTCAATAATCAGAAAGAAAAAAACAAAAAAGATAATATTTATTGGATCTGGGACAATTCAAATGTACCAAAAACTTTGCCAGAAACTGTATCAATTGATTCTGACTCTGACAAATCTGACAATGATTTTCATTAATAAAATTAATAAATCAAATATAAATTTGTTTGTTGTTAGTTTTAGAATATCTGTTTATTTTTTTGAATTTCCGTTTATTTTTTAGAATTTCCGTTTATTTCTTAGAATTTCTGATTATTTTTTAGAATTTCCGTTTATTTTTTAGAATTACTGTTTATTTTTAGAATTTCTGTTTATTTTTTAGAATTCCTGTTTATTTTTTAGAAGTTCTGTTTATTTTTTTAGAATTTCTGTATATTTTTTTATATATTTTTGTTTTAATGTTGTTCCTATTATGTGCAAAGCAACAATAATTAAGTTGAAATAAAAATATTTGCTTGAGCTCTTGATTTTACTTGATACTAAACGCAGTTTTACCGGTTTTACATAAAAAATAAAAACAAAAATAAATATCAAAACTTGATATATATCGGATATATATCGGATATATATCAGATATATATCGGATATATATCCACACCTCTAACAGGCTATATGACTCCTAATTGTAGGGGGCGCCACCTACATGTGTTTTGACTGTTTTGAAGAGTATTAACTTTTCTTCTACAATCTATATAAAATTACTGAGTGAAAAAATATAATTTTCGTGATTTTTTACATAAAAAATGTCCCTTGGTAAAAATCACTAAGAGCAACTCCCAGACACCAATTTTCATCCAATTATTGATGTTACTTAAGAAATTATTTGGAAAAAATCGAAATAAAAAATGAAACTTCTACACCCTGTATCTCCGAAACTAAGCATTTTAGAATATACATTTATATGAACTTTTTACTTATTTTTATCTGCAGAATATGCTGCCGAAGTTTCCGGAACAAAGTTCTGACCACCTTGTATATCAATGGACTGATATCATTTTTAATTTTGAATTTTTACATTAGTTCAATTATTGAATTAAAGATATAGGCGTTGATTGAAAGAATTGGGAAGATACGGAACCTAATGGGCGAATTTCTGATAAGGCTGATTTGATTTACCCTTACGTCTCAAGTGCTATACGGTGGAGACACCAATCGTTCTACGGCCAACGCATAAAATACTCATTTTCTCTAATTCGGCCAGCGAAGGCATATTGAAGATGGTGTGGAACTGAAAGCGACAGTGTTGCAATATTAAAATGTGTAATATCTGTAATACGTTTAACGAAAATATTTTTGGATGAAAAATCTGATTACTTTTTGATTTAATACATGTATTAAATTTATAAAGAACGAAAATAAAAATTCTTTTATAGGTACTGAATATGTCGTATGATCGAAAAAAGTCGTTTAGTTGGCTTGGAAATGACGAATTATTGGCATTTACCATAATATTTTACACATGAAATAACACAGAAATCTTTATTTTCAAGCCATCTCTGACGCCGTTCTTTGTTTAATCTTATAATATTTTAAATTATTTAATGACAGAAAATTCGTATTATTAACGTACTGTATCCAAAATCTGTCTCCGGCAACCACTCACTTTGTCGACAGAAAGCAGAACTAAGGTACATATTGTACAGTATATCAGCGCCCAGCGGTGCAGAGCTAAACTAAATCTCGGACAGGTTGACTCATAAGGTTGTGGATCCTCTTATTTCTTCAATCAACGATATCAGTCTGAAGAAAATTTTTATTTTAAGCTAAATTATATTTTATTTCTTAATTATTCAGACAATAAAACATGTGCCGATGGGCCTCAAGAACTTTTATTATTAGCGAGAAGATCGGATATTTACGTTATCTACTTAGATTCTCCTGATTATAGTGGTAAAATTGTACCTTTGAATAACGTTAAGTATTCCATAGCTGTTGAGTTTGATCCGGTTGAAAAATACGTTTATTGGTCGGACGATGAGGTTAAAAAAATACAAAAAGCTACTTTAAATGGTAAGAGATACTCTAAATAAAATAATAGATATATGAAATAAATTATGCTCTTTGCTATTTCAGGAGAGGACCAACAAGATGTTATTATGTCGGAAGTTAAAGATCCTGATGGCATGGCCTTGGATTGGGTTGCAAGAAACATTTATTGGGCAGATACAGGCACTGATCGAATAGAGGTGGCCAAACTAGATGGAGGATATAGAAAAGTTATAATAGGTAATTAATTAATACCATAGACTTGGTGCATTTCAGTTGATTTCAACCGACCGCAGCGCACTCTACGGCAGAAATCAGAAAATATCAATATAGTGTATATTGAAATCGGGATTTTGTCATAATATTTAAGTATTTTAGTTTTTTGCTAGTGCAGTTATTGAGACTATGAAACACTCAAGTACGAGGTTTGTGTGATGTAACGCTGTTTCGGGTAGTAAAAAATGAGTTCGGGTAGTAAAAAGTGAAAAAGAATTCGAACTAGGCGTCTTGTTGTGTTGTGACAATTTCAAATGTTAATAAAATTGCATAAAAAAATGTTAACGCGTAAAGGAGAGCGTAATTAAGGCGTTTTTGGGTGCAATAACATTCAATAACTCAACTTTCCCAGATATTCAACTCTTCCAAAACAACATAGTTTCTCATACCGATTTGATCAAAAGCAAAAATAAATGCAATATTCAAGTAGTTCGACCGCAAGTGAGTAAACAAAATGCTCGTTACATAATCGAAAAATTAGACATATTCTATGACAGGATAAAATATAATTTGCAATATTAATGGTATACTTTTTTGATCAACTAGATTAATGAATGAATTATTTTAATGCTAAAAAAGTGTCGACACATTCACCAGGGACGTGTATATGGGTTATCAGTGGAATATTTTTCTAAAAAAAGCATGTACTCCACTCCTTATTAGCGAAATAGTGTAAGCCATTTAATGCCGATTAAAAGTTGTTTGTTGATATTTTATTAATTTCTCTTAATCAATGTCTAATAGCAACCTTTAAAAAAAGTATATTCTTTCGTAAATTAAACTTAATTCAAGTGTTTTTTTTTTCTAATTTGTTTGAAACTTTTTGGTACACTCTGCGTAGAGTTGACTGTTTGGTAAAGTTGATTTTTTTATTTTAAGGCGATGGTTTGGTTGATCCTAGAGGAATTGCTGTCGCTCCTGAATTAGGTTGGCTATTCTGGTCTGACTGGAACGAGAAAGACACGAAAGTAGAAAGGTCTAATTTGGATGGTTCAGAGCGTGACTATATTGTCCGAGACAATCTTGGATGGCCTAATGGAATAACCTTAGGTAAAATCTTTTTTTTTTCAGATATTTTTTTATGAAAAATGTAGCACTGATTTAATAATAATTTATTTTTCAGACCTGAAATATATGAAAATCTATTGGTGTGATGCCAAGTTTGATAGGATTGAGTTTGCCAATATGGACGGCTCTGATAGGCGAGAGTTAATCAGTGACAATGTTCCGCATCCATTTGGTTTCAGTCTAATGGGAGAAAATTTATATTGGACTGATTGGCAAAGGAGAGCGATAGATAGAGCACAGAAAGAATCAGGTATTTATAGTGTGTTTTTTTTAGTTTCTCTCTCAGTTCTTTATACAGGGCGATCCGAACTGTATTCTGGAAACTTTGGCAGCATATTCTGCAGGTAAAAATAAGTAAAAAAGTTCCATAAATGCATGTCCTGAAAGGCTTGGTTTCGGAGATATGTAAAAGTTTTTTTTTTCGTTTTTATGTAGAAGTTTCATTTTTATTTCAACTTTTTCCAAATAAATTCTGAAGTGACGTCAAAAATTGTAAAGATCAAAATTGGTATCTGGGAGTTTTTTGACATGAGAAATTTGATTTTGATGTTAATATGACCCCTACTTGCAGAGGGCGCCACCTACTTATTTTTAAACTGGTTTGAAGAGTAATAACTTTTCGTCCGTACCTGTATAAAACTTGAAGAGTAATAACTTTTCGTCCGTACCTGTATAAAACTATCTAGTCAAAAAATGTATATTTGACTGGTTTTGCATTGTTACCTGTTCAATTTTAATTTAAAAATAAATGCATCAGTTTTTCTGAAATTACTTAAAATCGGCTTGTCCAAAATTGTTCATATTTGACATGTGTATTCAACCATATGCAGACCTTTAAAAAAACTATTTACGACTTAGCTAGTTTTGTTCATATGGGCGTGAAATTGGATGTCGCCAATGTATAAATAGTTTCTTATCTTCTTATCTATGACATTGAAAATCTAAAAGAATGTATTTTATTTATTTAAATTTCTTTTAGGAGATAATAGACAGGTAATCGTGGACCAAATGGAAAACATTATGGGCCTAAAAGCCGTCAGACTACAAGAACCGTCCGGTTGGAATGTGTGCAAAGACAACAACGGAAATTGTTCGCAACTGTGCCTTCACCGACACGACAAAACTAGAGTGTGCGCATGTCAAATCGACTACGAACTGTCTAAAGACAAAAGGCAGTGTGTCCAAGCGGACGTGTTTTTATTGTACACCATGAAGGATAGAATTGGGAGGATAAGCATTGAAAACGAGCCGCTGGAAAACAACTTGCATATCCCAAATATTAAACACGCTAGGTAAGTTAGAAGTTTGGTTAAAATGTATAAAAACGATTTTTTTAATAAGGATATTTTTCTCACACAAGGCTTTTCTTCCATTATATATTTCTATAAATTGGATTATAATCTCAAAAACCTATTTGTTTCAAAACTTTATATAGTCTGTCCAACGAGAAGATCCTTGACAGTGATAGATGTATCTGTCATTTTAATTTCAAAGTAGTTTATTTTATTTTACAAAGAAATAAGTTGGTACAACTGGAACGCATAGCAGGATATATTTAAAATTTGATTGACAAGATGACAAGTGATTAGGTACTTCAAAATATTGCGAAAAAAACTGTATAAAACTGAAAAAATGTAATCGAGTTATTTTATTTAATAAAAACGGTATGTGTTAATACAAAACAAACAAGAACAAGACACTACATACCAAAAAAATATAAAAAAGAACTATTATTTACTTTCGAGCTTTATGAAACTACCCGCATTTATGATTATATTTATCAATATAACTTATGTACAAATACAAATTTGTAATATTCCACAGGAATAAATAAAACAACATAGGTAAATAAAACAAACTATTTTATTAATAATAACACCTACCAAATTTTATACCTTAAAGGTTGATTAATTAATTTTAATCTTAATTTTTTTAAACCAGTACCTTTTGACATTATTTTTCTGCAGTACTAAAATCCATTATTTACCTATCGTGTGATGTCGATATTTTACCGCTACTATAGTTTTTAGTATGTGTTTAGTTTGATCTTCTACCATATACGAGATGCACTTATCTACGACGAAATGGTATACAAACTTTATCGATGGCAACTTCATTGGTGTATAAGCCTTTCTGCCTGGGCAGCGAGTATTAACCATAAACTGTGCTCTGGGTCTACACTTAATTTTCACTCGATTTTTCCTCCACTTGACTTCAAAAGACACAAAACACACGTAATAATACGAATCAAAATGCATCATCTTCCAAAACGCAGGGTATTTAACAAAAGTTGACACAAAATTATAACCTATAATTTGGCAAGACTTTGACAAGCGTCAAAAATGACAAAAATCTAAAGGCGAGTTCATACGCATCGTTTGTCGTTCATCGTTCCGTCAAACCAATAAAATCGAAATACGATCTGTCATTTTTTAAATAAACCAATAAAACTGGTTAAAAACAACAAGACACGACGCATGACGGATTTATATTTAAACCCATCCATAGATAACTTAAAAATTATTAGAAACTTTTTTTAGTAAAATAAATAGATTGGTATGGGACGTCATCTGCTTTTCTTCTGTCATCGTCTGTCGAAATCTTACCTGAGAAAAAAAACAGAGTATAGTGGCTGTATATTTATACATTTTTTACATTTGTTATTACAGTTCAATAGATTTTGATACAAACTCAATGAGAATTTATTGGAGCGATAGCAAGCTACGTTCTATCATGAAAGCCTACATAAATGGATCTGAACCTCAGAAAGTTATTGACTTGGGACTAGCCTCTGCAGAAGACATTGCTGTTGATTGGTTAGGTATGTGTACAAAATCTATGGTAATCGCAAAACGATTTCCGGTGCACGTGATCAACAACTTGAGTGACAAGCGATGGCGACAGCGCCAGATTGTGATGGATTTATGAGATGAATCTTAATTTAAAGTGACAAACAATGTATTTATTATATAGTTTTTTACGTTTTATTTTTAAATTAATAACTAATATTTTAGTAATTAACTGATTGATTTGTTTTATAGCTTATTTTACTTATTACATATTGACAAAAACTAGTCCATTATGAAGATTATTCTAAGCGTTATTATGGGTTATTTAATTATTTATTGATGTACATCTTACAACGCCATAAGTGGTAATAACAAGTAAGAGGGTGCTATTAATGCATAAACTAATAATCACAGTATTTAATAAAAAGTAACGTAGAAATAACTTTGAAAGTGGTGTAATGTCCTTATCATTCAAACTTACTTCTCTGACTGCAGTCAAGGGTAATAAAGGACCTTTATTGTCACGTTCTCGTTTAAAATAGTTTATCAGGGAAGCTACAAGCTCTTTGCTTCGACTGCTTAAATGCTTCGGCATATTTTCAATCCACAATTTCAAAAAATGCAATACAAAAACTAGAAAATTTAGTTCTTAAAAGAAATGTTTGTGATTAAAAGTACAATTTTTAAAAAAAGACTATGAAAATAGGCAAAAAAACGAGAATTACTCACAAAGATTCATCAACAACAACACAATATTATACAAAATAATGACTGACATTAGGATAATTGTCAAATACATAATAAACGACAACCTTGCTGAAAACGGCGCAATGTGACAACATAGCGATAATAAAATTCGGTTTAAACTAGTTTTTGCAGCTTTAATCTAAATAAAATATCTGTTACAATCATTTGAATAAAAATGAAGAGCTGGTTGATATCTTAAATTATACAACAAACTTAAACATTTTTGCCGAAATTTCATTTAGTCAGGTTTGTAGACTTTATTGTCAATGTCATATGATCGATGACGTGCATCCGAAAATTTGCGATTACAATATGTTTAGTCTGTCCAGTGATGAGTATAATACTATAATATCTCAAATTTTAGGGTTAAATATCTATTGGACTGATCCGACATCTCATAGAATTGAAGTAGCGAGACTCACAGGTACATCAAGAAAAACCTTATTATGGCATGAGACTTATGAGCCTTATAGTATTGTGTTGGATCCAGTGTCAGGGTATGTATAACAAGACAACATAGTTATGGAATATAGTTATATATTTTTTGTGTTTTTCAGTTACATGTACTGGTCTGAATGGGGTCAATCGAATTCAATAAAAAAAGCTGCAATGAATGGGTCAAAACAAAGGAAGTTGATTTCAACAAATGGTAGAGCTATAGGTCTGACACTAGATTATGAAAGGAGAAGGTACGTAATGCTTAATTTAAAAATGTATTTGGTAAATATTGATTAAATATGAATTAATTTAGTTTCTATCATTAGCTACTACTTTTGAGATGAAGCGGCAACACTGTAATGCTATAAATAATTTACGTTCACCAAGCAGGTGCGTCTATATAAACATCCAAATTTTCGTTTCCATACAACCTCTTGCCTCTACATACAACGTTTCCCTACATCACACCTTGTATACTTATTGTAGCCCTTTTCTTATTATTTGATTTTAAATTATTTTTTATGATATGATTATTAGAGTTAAGATTATTAGCGCGTGTTCCCAGTTTATTAATATCAAGTAGGTGTTTGGGCATTGCTCATTTTGGTTGTTTTTCTGTTTGTAATTTTAGGCACTTACCTTACAGTTTTAATCATAGAGTTAAAAATTAAGTTTTGATCGATTTTTAATTTTGACATGAACATGATTATAACCTCTAAAGTGAAATGACAGCTACTACAAACAAATGTGCAATAATTTAACTTTGAAGGATGGTTGTACAGAGTATAATATGAGTCCTATTATTTTATTGAAATTATTTTCAGGTTATATTGGGCTGAAAATGACCATTCATGCAATATGTCTGCTATATGGTCGGCAGATTTAGATGGCAATGACAAAAAGATCATCGTAAACCACGGAGTTTGCAATCCAAGCGGTTTATCTTTATATAAAGACCACATTTATTGGACTGATGCGACAAGTCAGTTTCTTTTAAGCAGAATATGTTCTAGTTATTGACTGATTAACTATTTGTTTTAGATCAATTGTATCGTGCCGAAAAATATGAAGGATCAAGCTTCACATCCATAATGCCATTGAGTGAGAATCCAACTGATCTGATCGTGTACCAGTCAGCAAAACAAAATCAATCGAATCAATGCGCTACCAGCAATGGAGGGTGTTCTCATTTGTGTTTAGCTCTACCTGCCGACAACCCGGATGAACACACAAAATATACGTGCGCATGTCCTACGCATTATATCTTGCAAAATAATGAATGTATACGTAAGTTTTTAATTATTTGTTTTGAATAATGTTTTAACTTCTTTTTTTTTTGTGGTAGCTCCTACAAGTTTTATGATATATAGTTTAAAGAATTTGGTTGTGAGATTAGTGCCTGATGATGTTTCCGATTGTCCTGAAGCAGTGTTGCCGATTCAGGGTTTAAAGGCCGTGAGAGCAATTGATTTTGACCCAAAGAATAATGTTGTTTATTGGGTAAGTCATTTCTTTTTGTTATTGGGTCTGCTGAAGAAATTCTTAAAATATTAAGTTCTCTTCAATAACTTTATATTTTATTTTTTCGTTACAGGTGGATGGTAAGGTTCATGCTATAAAGTCGGCAAATATAGGCAGTCAACACGTTAACACGGTCGTACCCAATAGTCACGACATAAGACCATTCGACATTGCCATTGATGCCATAGGTCGCCTTCTTTTTTGGACATGCGCTGTTCAAAATGTCATCAACGTAACCAGATTGGACAATTCGAACCCTTTCGGTAATCTGAAGACTAGAGATGGAGAAATACCGCGATTAATTGTCATACACGTCACGAAAAGGTATTAACTTTTATTATATTATCTGATTTTTAAACGCTAAACAAGAGATATACTTAAGAAAATGACCTAAACATATAACTCTTTTTCACACAAGACTAATATGTTCCTTAAGTTTCTTTGTTTATTTGTTATCGTTTCATTCAGTGGTATACAGGGTGTCCCAGGCTGAGCGTGCATTAGAAGTTTCTAGAGAACTGCAATATCTAGATCGGAGATTTTTTGCACATCATCGTTCCACACGAGATCTATCGATTAAAAATATTCTTAATATGGCAGTACTTCCGGAAATACCGGAAGTCGACAGCAACTTTCTTATTTCAAATTGGTGCTCCCATTTTTTAATACATACTTAAATTCTGTATAAAATTTTATGAATTTTGATATTAAACACTCGATACCTAACATAAACCGTTTTTGAGTTGGAAAAAATATTTAAAATTTTTAGACGAAAAAAACTGCCTGTCAAAAATATGTCTATAGTCTAAGTGTCAAATTCAGTTATTACCACAGCCACTGTGTGTGCAAAGAGAAGACTATTTAGAGTGGCTATCTATTTCGAAAATTAAATTTTCGAATGTCATATAATAATGGCCGCAGCTATCATGGAATTGAGTATCATGAATTGAATCTTAAATCATTTTTTCAAATTGAAACCCACTTTGTTATTTCACTAGTAAAAATATATATCGTATTTTCGTTCTTTAGTGATATCTAATAGCTGATATTATTAATATTCAAGCGCAAAGTTGGCTCGAAAATTATGCTGCTTTTTGAACAAAGCGTCAAAATATGACATGGCCAGATCTAGTGTTTTACATCACTTGCCGTTTAAGTAACGAATTGAAAAGCTTTTTCACTAAGCTTTTCAATTCGTTACTTTTTGACTATACATGTTCCTATACCTACCTAAAATAAATATTTTTTAAGTTATTTAAGATTTAGTTTTAAAGCGTATATTTTTCTTGATTTTAACGAGTAGCCTATGACTTTAAACGTCAAGTGATGTGAAACAATAGATCTGGCCATATCATATTGTGACACTTTGTTCAAAAAGCAGTATGTCATCGATCATCATTTCCAAGCCAACTTTGCGCTGTTTTTATTTCGATCATACGGTTTATTATTAATAATGAATAATATCAACTATTAGATATCACTAAAGAGCGAAAATACGAGATATATTTTTATAAATACACTTTAAATTCTTAAGACAGGCAGTATTTATAATATAGGAAATTCAAATAATTCGTTTTCTGACAGATGTAAATAAATTGTCTCACTGTTTGACTTTGTTGACTTTGATTCTTGAAATAGATAGCTACATGTCTTCTCTTTATGTCACAGTAGCTGTGGTAATCACTAATTTTGACTTTTAGGCTATACAAATTTTTTTGATGGGTAGTCTTTTTCGTCCAAATATTTTAAATATTTGTTTTTTCAAAACCGGTTAATGTTAAGTATAGAGTGTTTAACATCGGTATTCATAGAATTTTACAGAGAATTTAAGTATGTATTAAAAAATGGGTGCAACGATTTAAAATAATAAAGTTGTTAATTTCCGGAAGTGCCGCCATATTGAAAATATTTTTAATCAATAGATCTCGTTGTAAAACAACGATGTGCAAAAAATCTCCGATCTAGATGTTGTAGTTCTCTAAAAACAAAATAAAATGCACGCTCAGCCTGAGCTGAGATACCTTATATATTGTGGTTAGATTAAAGCTACAACTCTGTTTTTTGACTTAATAAAATTCAATACACTTTTAATTCAACTTTATTTTTGTTGTGTATTTTCTTAGGCTGCTGTTTTATACCGATATGGGTGACACTCCTCAGTTAATTCGAACTCGATTAGATGGATCTTATAGACTTGTGATAACTACGGCCGACGACATAAAAGCAATAGCTGTCGACATTGAAAATGATTCAGTGGTCTGGTCTCAAGGCCAGAGCATCTATATCAGCAATATCGATGGCGAAAACAAGTATGAGAATGTTTCTTAATGTTTCTTCTTGTAATTACTTAAAAATACTTTAATGATTTCAGACATGTACTGCTAAGCGAAAATAAATCAAAAATCTCTCAACTCACCGTCCATTCTGGATGGCTGTACTGGATTGATAAAGAGCTGAACGAACTCCAGAGACTGGAACTGACGACTGGCAAATCGAGGTCGACCCTACCCATTCAGGCTTCGCATATAGTCGACTTAATCTCCGTAAACAAGCTTCAAAATCATAGTTGTAACGTGCAGAAGAGATGCTCGCATTTTTGTATATTAAATGGTAAAAAAATTGGTTTGTTTTAGATATTTTTTTACTGATATTCAATTAGTGATGGGCATTACGATTCATTTTAGTGAATCGAATCACACGATTCAATTTCTCATATTGAATCGATTCCTATATATTCCTTCCATATGCACAATTTACTTTTCGTAAAAACAAGAATCGTAACTGGCACTACTGGCGATAATTTTGCGGGACAATTACTTAAGGTACCACAAAAAGAAATATACAGTTCTTTTGTTTGTTTTTCAACACTTTTTGACACTAGCATAATTGGATTTAGGGAATGCAATCCCGCAAATGCGGGATCCCGCTGAGATTCCGCGGGATTTACCGTGCGGGATCTACGGGATTGACACATTACTACTGGGTAACCGAATCGATCTCGATCAAGGTCAAACCGCTTCGTTCCGGGCCGATGCATCGACGCTCGGAACCCGGGGGATTCCCCTTACGCCTTGGCCATTAAAATAAGTGAAACAAACACGTTAGTTGTTAGATTTCTTTCTGGCGTATGTGCGTAAGCAGCGTAAGTGAAGAAAAGTGTTTAACTAGTACTTGTGGACAATTTCGTCAAATAAACTGCCGGACATAATTATCGGGACAAGCAAAATTTTAAGGTAAATTTAAAGTTGAATATCTCATGAACTAAAAAAGTTTTTGGAATGTGGTTGGGACCAGGTTTTAAAAACATCTACTGTGACTAAGATGCTATGTGGTTTTCGAAAATATATTTAGCGAATTATCGTATAGAGGGTGTTTTACAAGAGTGTGAAAATTTGGTCAAGAATCTTTTTTACCGCAAATTTACAATCTTAAAATTTTTTTTACCAAATACGACTAATCTGCATTGAAATTAGAAAAAAACAATTTGATCGGTTTTTTATTTTTTTTTTTGTTTTAAGGAAAATACATTTTTTCGAAAAATATGCATTTTTAGTCATACGTATGGTCCTAAATGGTACAAAAAGCTTTGTACATATGCCAAAAAATTATTGATATAGAGTGTATCTAAAAGCAGATAACTAACACAAGTTAAAAAAAATCAGTTTTTTAGTTCAAGAGATATTCAACTTTAAATTTACCCTAAAATTTTGCTTGTCCCGATTCCCGATAATTATGTCCGGCAGTTTTGTTAAATAGATTACTTGTATTACGTCCAATGTAAACCAGCTAATCACTAAAATGGGTGTCAGTGTAGTTTACAGAGAAAATAAAGGCTCAAGTTTAGTTTGGGATTATTTCTTAAAATCTGAAGATGGTTTTACAGCTAAATGTAATTTATGCCCTAACATTATTAAAATCTCTGCTCGTTCTACGAAAGGTCTTCATACCCACTTACAGACGAAGCATAATATGAATTTGAAAGTCAAGAGCAACAGCGAGAGTGTTGTTATTAATAAAATAATACAGGAAAAGAGACCTAGTGCCAGTAGTTCAAGTTTTACTACTATTTCTAAGCGCTCAGGCTCAGATGATCCAAGTTCTTCTGTGCTACCTAGGAAAAAGAAAATTACGGATTATTTTCAATCTGAGAAAAAAATTACTTTTCTGCTACTATAGCCTGTTTTTAATTGCATAAAACCATTATATTAGCAAGTTTAATAGGTTAAGTACAAAGAGGAGCATTTATTGTTTACAATCCCGCAATTTTGCGGATCCCGCGGGATTGATTGCTTTAATCCCACGGGTTTGCGGGATTGAGATTTTGATGCGGGATTGCATTCCCTAATTGGATTGATTATTTTACAAATAATATTAAATTATCAATCCACTTCATATATACTACTTATTAAAGACTTCTTAATACCAATATTTTTAGAGCCATATTTTAATTCCGATTTAATTATCATATAATAAATAGTATATAATACCGCACAATCAAAAAAAAAATGGCATCCAGTTGGCTTGAAAATGAACATCGATGACATTGCCCATATAATTTGACATATAAAATGACGGCGATTTTCATTTTATAACCATCACTGACGCCGTTTTTTTTTCTTATTGAGCAGATGCTAGCAATATTTATTTGGAGTTGCATAAAAACACGATTTCGTCTTTTAGTCCGACATTCAATGGTTTATAGTAGGTAATATTATTGTAACAAAAATATTAACGTAAAAATTAAATACTTTACAGATACTCCCGTACTAAGCACAGTATAAATCTGTTTTTTCTTGTAAATAACATTCTTATCGTTTGCATTTTATGCCCATGATGTTTGTTTAGGGCTTTTTTTCAACTCTAAATATTGGTGCCTGACTCTATGCTTATATCACCGCCGCGCCGTAGAAACAAACGATCGCATGGTGATCCGATTCAATTCTCACGATTCTTTTTTACGGCTCATCGTTCAAATCTTATGGATTGGTGCTGTCCACTATTCATTTGAACGAACCGTATTGTAAGCAATGAATCAATTCTCACGATTCTTTGAACGAGCGACCGCATTGTGATCCGATTCAATTCTCACGACTCTTTTTTACGGCTCATCGTTCAAATTTTATGGATCCGTGCCGGCCACGATGCATTTGACCGAACCGTATTGCAAGCAATGAATCAATTCTCATGACTCTTATGGATCCGTGCTGGCTACGATTCAATTGAACGAACCATATTCTAAGCAGTGAATCGAATCACACGATTCATTTTTAATACGCGTTCGAATGAACGACTCGTGTAATCTTTGCCCACCTCTATATTCGATTATTTTAGGCACATCTCCTCACTGTGCGTGTCCCCATGGTAAAATGTTGCAAGAAGATAAAGGTTCTTGCCAGGCGATCCCTAATTGCGGTCCAGAAAGGTTTACTTGTACCATTGTATCTTCCGAATCCAGAGATTGTATTCCTATAGCTTGGAGATGCGACAGGTATTTATTTTAGATTACATATTTTTATTTTTTTGAGTTTTTTTTAACGAATTTGAATATTTTTTTCAGGCAAATCGATTGTTCTGACGGTAGCGATGAATTGGACTGCCCCAGCTGTCAACCGAATCAGTTCAGGTGTCAGGACGGTCACTGCATTGATAAATCCTACGTTTGTAATAATGTCAACGATTGCGCAGATCGTTCTGACGAGAAAAACTGTTGTAAAAATGGATTTGCCTGCCCTCAAACAGAAGTAAATGTTTATTTTTTATAATATATTTTTTGTTGTAGCTATTCTATTTAAATTTAAATTTGGCATGGTAAAAATAGTAATGTGGATAGTTGGTTTTGTTAGGAATGAGGTAGTTTGTCACTTGTAGAATATGCATGTTTAGTTTATAAATACGCAAATCATGCGTTATTATGTGTGTCGTTATGTATTTCTGTTGATTTTGTGAATAAATATTGAAAAAATAATAGCTTTACCTCTTTTACTACATTTTTATTCTTACATATTTAATATTTTTGAACGATTATCGAATAAAGGTAGGTCCGTATCTTTGAATAAAAATATTAAGGAAGGAATATAATGCTATCCATGTATTCATGCAAGATAGACGGACAAAGAGCCCTAGGATAGGGATCCTTGACAGTTCTGTTTGACGATTCATTTGACACATTTGAATTTGATATGAAGTTTTTTGGATTGGTCAGTCTTTACTGAGCTTATTTTATGTTATTTATTATTTATTCTACTACTGATAGTTGTTTAAAGGTAATAAATTTAAAAGGAAATTGTAGCACAACTTAAATGTGTGACACTATCGAAAAAAACTGTAAAATAGTTGGTTGTGTAGCGTGCGGTAGATCTCGGTCAAAAATCCAGGGAAATAATGGAATAACTTTTTGCTAGTAAGTGGCTATATAATATACATACGTGTAATAAACCGATCATTTATGAAATTCACTTAAAATTAACTAATTATGTATATATTTTTTCTTACATTTTTGCTTTTATTTACTAGGTACTTGTCAAAGAATTTAGATACGTCAATTTAACTTACTTGCTACAGTAGCGTATCGGATGTTTGTGTTTATAAATAATTATTATAACTTATCTATTTTTATTAGAATTATATATTTTTACAACAATTTTAATAACTACCAACATTTATTCACAACGTAAAATAAAATAACAAATTATTGAGTCTACCCCACGTCTACCCTACATCATATTTTTACACGTTCTGAATAAAATTACAACGGCACTGATAAACCGAAATTTAAGTCGGCCATTTTAGGAGCCCGTCGCGGTCGATCTAAAATTTTTGATATTCTCCTTACTTAAACTTTTTTTATTCAAAGTCCCTTATTATTTATTTCTTGTTATGATTATAATAATCATACTTCATACTGCAATGTCAGGTTTGTTTTCTAACCTTAGAGTCTCTCTATGTAGGTTTGTTTGGCTTCGTCGTTGGTCTGCGATGGCCTGGAAAACTGCGCAGACGGTTCTGACGAGAGGGACTGTCCCAATCAGGCCAATCACGATGTCGAGATATGGAAGGGGCCGATTTTTGCGGTTATGGCCGTCATATCGTTCATTTCGCTCATTGGATTTGTGGTATATTATCGCAAAAGGTGCATACCCAGAGAGGAGGTCATTGAACCACCAGAAGACAGTTTAAGCCCTTTAGATCCTAATGGACACAACAAGCATCTCAGAAAAGGTAAAAAATTCGTACTTTATATCTTAAGGACGAATCATTACACGTTCTTTATCAAAAAATCACATACAAATTTACGTATAAAAATACGTATTTTTACAGCTTTTCCAGACGTAGTTAGAATGTCTATGCTGAGTGATAGCGGTCTTTCGACTTACGATCATAGGCACATCACCGGGGCTTCCAGCAGTTCAAATACCAATGGTTCTAGCAGCGGCTGTTATCCTAGAGAAACGTTAAATCCGCCGCCAAGTCCGGCAACTACGGCAGCGTCCACCAGAGGGAGCAGTCCGTCAAGATATAGACCTTACAGACATTATAGGTATGTACGATACGAGTATAGTCTATCCAACGACAAAATCCTTGACAGTAATAGATGTGTCTGTCATTTTAATTTTAAAGTAGTTTCACAAAATATCCCCCTTTAGAACTTCATCTGTCATGTTAAGAATTGAAAGTAAATAAAAAGCGCTTTTCGTGGTTGTTCGCATACAAAACGGCAATTAATGCTTGTACAGGTTTGTTCACCACATACGACACGGAGTATTGTAGCTAAACGATTAGATTTTTACAAATTGTAAATTTTGGGTTCGTTGAAGGACTATTAGAGCTACAATTTAAAAATATTTTTACAAGATACAGAGTGTCCCAAATAAATTTGAGTCACAACGATTCTCCGCTCATCTCTAGTTCATAACAATACTTTTTCTTACAGATCTATCAACCAGCCACCCCCTCCTACACCCAACTCGACCGACGTCAATGACGAAAGCGACTACAATTATCCGTTGAACAGAAGCAGATACGAGGGATCGTTTCCTCCACCTCCAACTCCCAGATCTCATTACCACCAGGAGAGTTGTCCTCCCAGTCCCAGTTCGAGGAGTTCCACGTATTTTAGTCCCTTACCGCCTCCGCCCAGCCCTGTGGCCAGCCCTAGAGGCGATTCCGATTCTTAAAATAAGGTTCTGAATCGTGTTTTGGACTGTACACTGTCACATAGCCCTTCGGTCAGCCTTGAAGGCGATTCCGTTTTTTCGATAACTTTTTGAATCGTTTTCTGAAGTTTACACAGAATTTTCTAACTATACAGAAGCGACACGAGCAATTTTTTTGTGCATCAAATTTTAAGTGAGTGATATTTGGTTAGCTAATGAATGCGTAAAAAATGAAATAATTGAAAAAAACGTGCCATCTCTCGTGGGCAGATTCCTCACGTTAAAATAAGATTTATTTTTCATATCGTTTTGTAGCTACAAGGACGTTTAATACCAATTAAAAGTTGTATCTTGATATTTTGTCGATTTCAATCTCCTTGATGAGATAAACGCAATTTTACTAATCACAATTTATAAATTTAAAATAAAATTATTAATAAATTATTTATTTTATCTAATGTATTATTAAACATTACTATTAGTCCAACCTACAGTAAATTCAAATAAAAAAAATAATGGTATTTAATTTAATTACAAAAGACCTAATTTAAAATTTTTTTAACATCCTGTAACTTTAAAACTATGCATTCCAATACCCATGTTTATGGGAACTTATTTTTCATTTTTAATGAGGAATCAATAAGTACTAATTTAACACTTTCGCTAGTTAATGATATTACAATTTTTAAAGGTTGCTAATAGACTTGGATCAAGGCAAATTAATAAAATTGCGTTTATCTCATCAAGGATGCCGAAATCAAAGTCAATAGGCAACTTTTAATCGGCATTAAACAGCTTACACTATTTCGCTAACAAGAGACAAAAAATCAGTGGCGTACATGCTTTTTTTAGAAAAATATTCCAGTGATAACCCATATGAACTTCTTTGGTGAATATATCGACATTTTTTTAGCATTAAAATATGTCTCACTTATAGTCACTTTTACCCCGAAAATTTCATTCAAATCGCTAAAAGTACTTGAAAGAAAATGATAATTAATCGAAAAACTATATCCCCCTGTAGCTACGAAACAAAACAGAATCGGACCTATGTATGTTGATATGGATATGAAAAATAAATCTTATTTTTACGTGAGGAATCTCCCCACGGGAGAGGGCACATGTTTTTTAAAACACACACATAGGTTTTGGTCTTTTTTTTTTCGAGTATTTGCTTCAAAACGTGAAAAAAGCTCGAACGAATATGATTACTTGTTTTTTTTTTATCCTTAATAACCATAATCACCTTGTAATTGTAGTTTTTTTTCAGTAAATTTGTCTTTACTAAATCAAATCAAAAAAGAATACGTCATAATAATAACAGCTATATAAAGAAATTACACATTTATCTCAAAACATTTTAAAAAAATTTGTATCTTTAATTTTTTTGTTTTGGTTTGGCTGACAGTTACTTTAATGGCGTCGAGGTTTTTAATTTCGCTTTTGTAAAGTTAAGGCATTCTGTGGTTACTATTTTCATTTGGATCTGTCTTGTTTGTTAGTTAAGTCTATATTCTGTCCACACGCACACAACGAGAGAATATTTGACGACACATTTTTCTGTTTATGTATTTAATTCAAAAGTAGACTGTATTTTCGGTAATTTTCTGGATGTCTTGTCAAACTCTTACCTTCTCTTGCTGGACAATATTTAAGGAATTTACATTATAGATTTGAATTTGTCATAAAGAAGTTGATTATGGAAATGACGCAAAAAAAGTGTTTCGCGTTTTTACAATTTTATAGTGAATTCCTACTATAATAGTTATTTCTTTTTGGGAATCATTATAAATATTTTGGTGACTGCACTAACAATTCATTTTTGTTAATTTTCAATAAAAATGAAATAAACAATTTGCTAAATGACAAAAACTATTTTGATTAAAAATTATTTTTTATGTTATTTTTTGACAAATTACGTATCTGACTGACAAAGATTATTATTGTCAGTTCACAGTTGATCGTATGATATTTACTTTTCAATAATGACATTTCCATAGTTGTTCTTTGTATCACATTGAATGGCATTGTGGTTAGTAACAGTAGTAATAATGATCTAACCTCACAACCTAACCACATCAGTACCGTGTGATCAAAAAGTTTTACCTGACATTGACGGTAATAAAAATTCTCATGTATAATCCGCTACAGGGTGGTCCGAACTGTATTCCGGAAACTTCGGCAGCATATTCTGCAGATAAAACTAAGTAAAAAAAATTGTATAAATGTATGTCCTAAAATGCTTAGTTTCGGAGATACAGGGTGTAGAAGTTTCATTTTTATTTCGATTTTTTTCGAAATAATTTCTGAAGTAACGTCAATATTTGGATGAAAATTGGTGTCTAGGAGTTTTTTGGTATGAGAAATTTAATTTTGATGGCAATATGAATCCTACTAATAGGGGGCGCCACCTGCATATTTTTTAACTGGTTTAAAGAATAATAACTTTTTGTCCGTACCTGTATAAAACTACTATAAAAATCTCGGAAATGTATATTTTTTCATTTAGTAGTTTTATACAGTTGAGGGTTGGAACCTTTGGTGTTATACAGGTACGGAGACGAAAAGTTATTACTCTTCCAAAAAGTTAAAACATATGTAGGTGGCGCTTCCTACAAATGGGAGTCATACTGATCAAATTTCTCACGTCAAAAAACTCCCAGACACCAATTTTCATCATAATATTGGCGTTACTTCAGAAATTATTTGGAAAAATTTGAAATAAAAATGAAACTTCTATGTATCTTCCCTGTATATAATATTAAACTAAGCATTTTAGGATATACATTTATACGAACTTTTTTACTTATTTTTATTTGCAGAATATGCTGCCTAAATTTCGGAAATATAGTTCGGGCCACCCTGTATAATAACGGTTGTTCTGTCATTGCTCAAAACCATTTCATTTGACCATAATACTTTCTGATCACATTGTAGTGTTGAATTTTAGTACAAATTGTCCTTCTTGACAAATTAACAAATCTATAACATTTCTTCTGTTTAAATTAGATAATTTTTAAGTTGTAAAAATGTTTTTTTTTGTTTACCTCATTAGTTTGTAGTTTAGTTTTAAGGTTATTTATTTTCGTTTTCAAACAACTTGATATAAATTTCATTTCATTGGAAGATGAAGCAGTTACAAAAAAATACCTGTTTAACTTAACCTATCTTTATTAGTGCAATTTGAAAAACTTTTTAGGCTTGTTTAATATTAAGTTTAATCAAAATCTTTTTAGGCCTAGTATACTTATAATTATGTGTTTTAGGAATAATAATTTAATTATCGTTGTTATTTAAAAAAAATGTGTTTCATCCTTTGTAACATAACCTATAGGTTTATCATTAAGATCTAATAACTACCCATTCATTGCCATTTTAATGTAATAATTGAATTAAATCAGATAAATACACTACTATAGTAAAGATAGGGTATTTACCTGGTGCGATTTTTAGGTAAGTTCAAATATAACAAAAATGTGATATCATTCTTAATGTATATGGTTTTTGTAGTGAAACAGACGCAACAATGATTAAGCTTTAAAAATACCTATTTGTGCCTATACAATTAACAAACGTGTATTGTAAATAAGTTACTGTAGGTTTTGACAATCTATATCGATTTGTTCTACTCAGTTTTTTAAGATAATACAACAAAAATAAATATCTTTTGTAAAAATTTATTTTGCACTGTCATTTTTCTATATTAAACTAGTTCAAATATTTGAAAAACTTGTATAAACATTAATTTACAAAAAGTGATATGTTTCACCGGAAATTTACATTTTTAAAATGGCGCCTTCGGTATTTTTTTACTTTATTTGATAGAAAATGACACTCTGAATAGAATGACATATCATATGTCAACTTTTGACATTGCTTTAAAAAAATCGTATTTTAAATTGCAATCTAGAGTGTTATGGTGTCTGTTGCTATTGTGTCTGGAAAAATACTAATTTTTATTCCAGGAGCCTTGGAAAAATAGATTTGATCGTCTAATGTTTTTAGGGTCTTGTTCTGGCCATTTAGAAAATGTCCAAATCGTATTTTTTAAACATATCTCATTTTTTTCAAATGGAACGAGGGTGGCTCATTAGCATATTTTTTGGGAAAAAAACATTTTTTTACAAATAATTTGGTACCACACACTTACAATTTTAAATAAGCCATGTGAGAAAATGTTAAAATTGACATATGAAATGTCATTCTATTCGGAGTGCCATTTTCTATCGAACAAAGTAAAACAATACCAAGGATGCCATTTAAAAATCAAAAATGGTAGTCATTTCCTGTGAAACAGGAAGTGACAAAAAACAATTGAATACGTCAATCAATCCCACAATTTATGTCATATAAATTACTGTAGGAAGCTTGGCATATACTAACATACCAAATCTCGTTTCTTTATTTGAAAAAACAAAAAAGTTATAGGGTGAGCCTAAAGACGCTGAGCCACTTTTGAGACGCATCTGGTATATAAAAGTAAATTAAAGAGTATTGTTAGTTGCCTAACCAAAAGTTTAGAGATTTAAAATTCTCCCACCCTAGATATTTGGCCATTTAACCAATGCTACCAACAGAAACTGTATAAAACAAAAAGTATTTCCATATTCCCAAATCCCAAACAATTTGCCAAGAAAACCGCCCAATAGTAGGGCAAAAACGTCAAATAACGATTGATTTCTGTTCAGTGTCTCTGTGGAGCTGTATATAATTTTACTTATGCATTAGGGCGTGAAAATTACAAAATATGGCGATTTTTAGATCACTTTATTGATAGCCGTTCCAGGTTTTAAATAATCGATGTGCATGTTGTATTTTAAAGTGTGCTATGTATTTGAGTTGTTCGAGTGTTTTAAAAATGTTTTGATGTCGTCAAAGTTAGGTTATGAGTGTTTAGAAGATATCGGGCCCCCGTCCTCTTATTCGATAATTTGCATTTGGAAATGAGTACTTGGGCAGCGAGAATGCATAGGCGCGCGGCGACTTTTAGTAACGTAGTTACGTCCTGCGGTCATCCCTCCGGTCCCTACCCGAGAAGACTGGAAAAAGTTAAATTTGGGGTACCACTCGAAGAAGTTTGTAAAAATGATATTCCAGGCCCGCTGTTGGTACGTAACGTCTTTTATGTTTGGATATTTGAGTTAGTAGAAAGAGTTCTCTTGTTTACTTTAAGATTTATAGGTAATTTAATCTTTATCAATTCTAAACAAAGCTAAATTATCATTCTTAGTATGAACCTAAATTGTGTGTTGAAGATGCGAATAAAGATAGTTGAATGTTAAATTTACATATCTTTAACAATGTAAATAAATATTTTGATATACCTATATTACTCTTGGTACTCAATTTACTAGCTAATAAATATTAAAAATTATTGCAGTTAAAATTAGTGTACTCAGATGTGTACCAAAAGAATCTGAATTTGTTTATCATTAAAACTATCTTAAAAACATTGAGTATATTTTGAAAAGTTCTTGTTTTAGGTTTTAATTCTGAAACTCAACAAAGAGGCTCCTTACAGGAAAGATGTGTTTAGAGCGCCAGGACATCAAGGCGCAATGAAAAAACTAATTCACTTTCTGCAGACGGGTCGATTAGTCAACATGGATAATTTTAGTGTGTACACTATAGCTAGCGTTTTGAAGAAGTTTCTTCGAAAAGTGCCCGGAGGAATATTCGGAAGGGACATCGAACAAGAATTCTTTCATGTGATTGAATTAACTGACCAACAAGTACAGAATGATGAAATTAATAGGTAAATAGTAAAAATTTTAAATATCTTTTTTAAATTATATAAATTTAATTACTCTCTGTATTTAGAAGTAACAGTTATTATTATTTGCTCTTTTTTGTTTGTGTATGACTGTACAAATTGTTCATTGTTTACATTACTAGGTACCATATTCTGGTTTGAATTACTCACAGTATAAATATTTATCAATGTTTAGATCTCATTTTAAAATGGTAATTAATTAATTAATATTTCTTGTCACCTGTTTTTCAGAAGGAAGTATGACACACATCTTGTTTAAAAATGCATATTTATGATTTTTTTTTAATGAAATATGTAGCAGATCTCTAAAATATGTTTTTTTATAGGGATATTTTATTATAAATCTATTTTTTACATTATTATTTTAGTTTTGAGACTTGAAATCCATGACATTCCCTATACAGGGTTATTTACCACATACCGCATGGAGTATTGCAGCTAAACGATTAGATTTTTACAAATTGTAAGTTTTTGATTTTTTGAAGGTCTATTATAGCTACAATTTAAAAATAGTTTTACATGATACAGAGTAAAAATATCAATCCTGCAAACCCACGTAATTAAAGCAATCAATCCCGCGGATCCGCAAAATTGCGGGACTGTAAACAATAGTCATACATTGAGTCCTAAATGGTACAAAAGGCATTGTATATTTTGCATAAGCCCACAATATATTGATATAGCGTGTATCTTAAACTAGCTGTACAGAAATTTGGACACCGATGTACAGGGTGGCGCCTCTCATACGCCGCGGTGGCTCCAAGGAGAAGGACAGTTTGTATTGAAATGAAATTTTGTGAGCATATGTAGGTTAATTCAGGGCACTTTTTAAAAATATAGAGAGTTCTACGGGGTGTCCCCAAAAAAAGTTACATATCAAAGTTGTGTTTTTTGTAATGGAACACCACATTAATTGATTTTCGGATTCTAGGAGAAAAATAAAGGTGAGTTTTATAAGAGAAGTATATGACTAAAATGTAAAGTTTTTGACATATTTAACATTTTCTAGAAATAAAGAACAATTTTTAAATTACAATAAAAGCTACCTAAATTGGAATTTACCCGGTGTAGCCTAATATGTAGCTAAACTAACTACTCTACTTTAAATCAAATTAAAACTTGATCCAAAAAGTTATACAGGGTGAGACAAAATTAATATTGAACATTGGTCACCTTTAAAAGAACGTTACTCTCTTATTTTAAATGGAACCAGTATATTATTCCGATATTTAAAGGAGAATTTCTGTCTCTTCAAAATACTATTAAGGTTGCCTACCCCTCAAACAAAGATTTTCCTAGATATTGTCAAGAAAAATGGCGTATCCGCCAGAAATTAAAAATGTATTACTGGTTGCCTGCACAACCGCAACGTATCCGCCAGAAATTAAAAGACTTTTTCAGGCGCCATCTTTTAGTCAAGTCGAGAAGTAAGGGAATCAGACAATGGAATTGTCTGGTATGAAGAAGTACGCTTTCCGAGAATTGGGGAAATTTCGAGAAGCAGTCAATAGAGTATATAAGCCGGAGCCATCGACAACGGAGAGAGTTTTTGAAATTTGAATATACCGCGTGGAAATTGAAAATCGGACAATTTGGTGAAGGAATCTTATAAATAGTTAGTTGTTGTGTGTTATAAGTTAGTAATTGTGTATAAAGTGAGAAAATAAATTCGTTAAGTATTTTATCGTGAGTTTAAATTAGTGGACCCACGGAATCCGTAACAATTGGTGTCGGAAGTGCGATTCAAGAGGATTTTAAGAAGAAATTAAGTGGATTGGAAGATTTTTAGACCCAATTAGAGTATTTTTATGGTTGGTACAAGAGAACAAGCGAAGAAAATGGAGGAAGTAAGCAAGTTATTGGGCGATTTTATGGAGAATATGAGAAGAGAGAAGGCAGAAGAACAAGAAAGACTCCGTAAAGAACGAGAAGAGGAACGAGCCCGATTAGTGAGAGAAAAGGAAGAGGAAAAATTACGACGTCAAGAAGAACAGGACCGGCTTGAGAAAATGTTAGGTAATTTGGAAATTCATTTCGAGGAGCGCCATCGTAGAGAAAAACAAGAAGAACAGGACCGGCTTGAGAAAATTTTCGAAGATTTGAAAATTCAACGACAACAAGACAAACAAGAAGAACAGGACCGGGAGAAAAATTTTAGAAGATTTAAAAATTCAGCGACAACAAGACAAACAAGAAAAGCAGGACCGTATTCAACAGAGTATCGAAAATTCGGAACGAAGACAAGAGACCCACTTCCAAGAAGTCGTAGAAGATCTGGAGGAGCGCCTTCAGCAGAAAATGGAAAAATTAGAGATGGACCTACAGAAGACCAAGGTACAAGTAAGGACACCTGGCGTTTCTGGAACTGCGAACCTCAAGGCACCGACCTACGATGGACAAACCACCTGGACGATGTACCACCGCCAGTTTGAAGCAGCGGCTGCTGCCAATGGATGGACTGACCAAGAGAAAGCAGCAGCACTTGTCATCGCGCTGCGAGGCCCTGCCCTGGAACTGTTGCAAACTATTCCTGCAGCCCAACAGCAGGAATACCAAACTTTGGTCGCTGCACTGGACAGAAGATATGGCGACCAACATCGACGCCAACTTTACCAGGCACAGATCAAGACACGCCTGCAGAGGTCCGGAGAGAGTCTGCAGGAATTGAAGCAGACTTACGTCGGCTGGTACACCTAGCGTATCCTGAAGCACCGGAAGGATTTAGGGAGGAACTCGCTGCTCAGTGCTTTATCAGCGGACTGAGGGACAACGAATTACAGAGGGCGCTGCAAATATCCCGATTTTCTACCAGCAGCGAAGCACTGGTCAGGGCGCTGGAAATCGAAGCTGCATTTAGCGCCATCCCTAGACCGAAGATAAGATCGGTAACGGTTGAGGAACAGCCCGGAAGTTCTCACATACGTTTGGAGGAGATGTTTAGTAAACTATGTGAGTTACTAGTGAACAAGAGTAGCAACAACACCCAGACAGAGAGCTATAGAAGATCACAGGACATAAGGTGCTTTAGATGTGGCAGGAATGGCCACATCAAACGGGATTGCCGCGTTCAAATGCGATCCCGTTCACCATCCAGAGAACGTAGGCACCAGGAAAACTAAAATCAGTCAATACTAAGGGGCGAGTATTGACTGGGGAGAACAGAGCCCCCAGGATTTTTTCCATTAGGAGTCTGGGAAGAACCGCTGACAGTTTAGTGATCGACGGGAAGGTCAATGGTAGGAGAATCCGAATGACAGTGGACACTGGCGCTATGGTATCGTTGGTGCGGGCTAACTCAGTGCAAGGATTGAAGCTGATGCCTCTGGGAAGAAGAGTGTGTTTACGTACAGTTACGGGGGAAATGGCCGTTGTACGGGGAGAGGCTATCGTCGAACTGAAGTTAGGAAATTTGAAGTTTCAGCATAGCGTCTTAGTGGCAGATATTGAAGATGACTTCATCTTGGGCATGGATGTGATTCGTCAACATGGATTTTCGTTCGATCACCAGAGAAATATCTTAAATATTGGAAATGAAGAGTTCATGTTATCTCCAGACGAGGGACCAGGCAGAATGGATGTAAGATCAGCGGAAACTGTGGTGATACCTGGTAATACCGAGAAAATCGTATTCGGTAAAGTGGAGAAAATCGCTGGGTGCTGTGTTGGACTGGTACAAAGTAGCGACAACAAACAAGATAGGTACTTAGTAGGAAAGTCGTTGGTGAACACTGACAAGAATATACCGATCAGAATTGCGAATGTTTTCCCGAATTGTGTCAAGATTCAAAAGGTGACAAGATAGCCATCTGCGAACCTGTAAGAAGTGTCACCCGATGTGATGAAGTGTCGTCAGCTGTTACACAAAAGGCATCCTAAGAAACACTAAAACATCTAGAACAGCCATGGGATCACCTAACACCTGAGGAGAAACAGAAGGCCAAGCAGTTCCTGCTAAAGCATGGCGGTATTTTTGAGAAGAACAACAGTGGAAGAACGGATTTTGTGAAGCACCGGATTAATACTGGTCATGCTCAGCCGATTCGACAACGTCCTAGAAGGGTGCCCCTTTCCAAACAAGAAGAAATGGAGACAATGGTAGATAAGATGCTAGAAGATGGAGTTATCGAAGAATCATCGAGTCCATGGTCATCTCCTGTTGTTTTGGTGACGAAGAAAGATGGTAGTACACGATTCTGCGTGGACTATCGGAAGCTCAATGACGTCACTAAGAAGGACAGCTATCCACTGCCACGTATAGACGACACGTTAACCACACTGGCAGGTTCGTGCTGGTTCTCCACTCTCGACTTAAAGAGTGGATACTGGCAAGTTGGTCTGGACGAGGAAGACAAAGAAAAGACGGCTTTTTTCTACAGGAAACGACTATACCAATTCAAGGTCATGCCGTTTGGATTATGCAATGCTCCAGCCACTTTCGAACGTCTCATGGAGGTGGTGTTAAGAGGATTAACTTGGAAAACGTGCTTGGTTTACCTCGACGATGTATTGGTTATGGGAAGAACTTTTGAGGAGCATTTGCGAAATTTAGAAGAAGTCTTTGGCCGCATACGGAATGCTCACCTGTACTTGAACCCGAAGAAGTGTAGCTTATTCCAGCGACAAGTGGAATTCTTGGGTCATGTAGTCTCGGCAGACGGAATTTACACCGACCAGAAGAAAATCGCTGCGATCAAGGATTGGCCTAAACCTCGCGACAAACATGAACTTAGAAGTTTTCTGGGTTTATGCACCTATTACAGAAGATTTGTCAAGGGATTTGCCAATATAGCTGCACCCTTACATAGACTTACAGGTGATGAAGTCGGCTACGAATGGAACACCGATTGTGATGTAGCCTTTGGAAGACTTAAGGCGGCTTTATGTTCAAGTCCTATTCTAGCCTACCCGCAACAACAAGGGAGGTATATCCTGGATACCGACGCCAGCAATATCGGCATAGGTGCAGTGCTATCACAAGTGCA